CGTATTATTGTAATGCGTTAGAAGAGTATTTGTTTATAAAATATATGTAATAAAATAATTAATGTAATTTATGGGAGTAACCAATGCATTGATTGGTTACTCAAATCAATCAAAAAGTAAATAATAATTGTTTAGTAAATAAGCTAGAATAAGTATAAATACCCATAATTTTGATAATAAAAATAGATTCAATTTAACTTAAGACAAGGTTACGTCTTTTATTTGAATCGTGTTCTATGCGGCATTTAGATGCTGAAAGAACAATAAGCGGCTGAAGAGCTTAGTAATACTCTCCTCTATACTGATAGGTCGTTTCCACTTACACTGGTCGATAAGTGATCCTTGAATCCTTTCAGGACTCAGACATCATTTGGTGATATTAATTGAGAAGACTCTATCTAACAATCCTGCTATTATATCTTGACGATCCTAACATCCTGCAACCATTACATGGCGAAGCATTAAGATCATCACCATAACATTACCATCACATCATAATTAAAACATAACATGCAATTACCATAACATGGCGATCCTGCAAGGGACATATATACTGAACTCTTAAATCCAGTACTTATGTTGACTTATTTGAACACGAGAACCACTGAGCACTTGAACCCAGTGATTTGAAGATTGTCCTAAATTATCCTGATTACTGAACACTTGAATCCAGTAGTCAGGTGCTTATATGGTGTAAATTTAGCACTTGAACCAAATCTACAAGCTATTAGAACGAACAAAAAAGAATCGATAACGAATGTGGCTTCGCATCAATTGAATTGTCAAAAATTCAATTATGCCTTTTATTTAAAATTGATAATTAATTTACAACAAATAAATTAACTAAAATAACCTTGACAATGCATGCCAAACAATGAACTTATTGCAAACTGCAAGAGTGCATTTTCTTGCAGACGAAATTTGACGCTTTTGTTTTCATGTGCCAACAGAAGCATATGACGTATTTTGGGCATTGCATTGACAACGTTATTTTTTACACCAAATATATTTAACACAATTATTACAATACAAATAAAAATAACAAATTATTCATACAAAATTAATAACAACAAAATATTCATATATAATAATATAATATAATATAAACAAATATTCAACATTCTCCCCCGCGTTGAACAACCGTTCAACAATATGAGCCTCTAGCTGTCAGGTAGTCAGTCCGACTATATGTTGATAACGAATTCTCGTGACTGTCGACGTGGCATGGGTATAGGTGTTGTGCGGGTGGCTTCTTCATCGGATGGAATTTCAACATGTTTTTTCTGCAATTTCTTCTTCATCATGATTATGATTAATATCAGCCCTATAACGAGTGCAGCGTAAGCTATGGTGAAGCTGTGGTACTTGTGTGACTGAAATTGATTTGGAAGATCATTTATCTGGTATGACTGTAACACCTTCTGCAATACTGTGAGTTCTTTAAGCTGTTGATCGTATTGGTTGTTGCGTACCGTTGATAGTGTACTGTTGCCGCTGTAAGCATCTGATGTCTTCATAGGGGGTTGTAGCCTTAATTCGGAGATTGTACCAAGACTACTGTATGAATATCTTGACGTGCATGCAATTATTTGTTGTCCTTGTACGGAAACAAAGTTGTGTTTAAGCACGCAGTCTGGATCGATCGTCAATAAACCTGAACCTTTTAGATTTAGTGGTATGATTTCCTTATTACATACTGCAGTTGCTCGTGAAGATGTTGATGTCGCATAAATCCATTGATTTTTGTGATTCAATGGAATCCAGGTCAGCTTGTTGATAGTGTGTTTCAACCGACAGTTTGGTATTGTGTTGTTGTTGAATAGGTTGACCTCACATGCACATACTTCGGAACCAAAATTGTATCGTATGCGGACGTTGGTGCAAAGAAATTCCTCTTCCTTAATGGTCTCACAAAGACTTAATTCGGATTTTATAAGAGGAAAATATTGATCATGCTGCGTATTAATAGCCAAAATAGAACTGCAGGAGTCAATTACCGTCATGGAGTCATTTACCCAGTTCGGGATTGGAATTAGCTGAAACAATTCAAATCGTTCATGTTCAATCAAGGGTCATGTTATACTAAAAACTGCATGCTGCTGTGTGATTCCACCTTTAACCTTCATTAGTCTGTAAAGGGATATTAACTCATCTTCTGGCATCGGTAATTCTAATGATGGTGATAAATGAAGTTTGATTTGATTAACTTCCTTTTGTAATTGTGTTGGTGTCAATAACAATGGATTCACTTTTCCATGATGAGTATCAGTTAGAGCATCTATAATAGCAGATTGTATCTTCTGTAGATTATGTGCTACCAGTGTTAATTGAATGGCTCCTGCATTGAAAACTTGATTGAGCCGTAATTGATTTACCTCTCTATTTGTATCTTTTATTGAATTTATCAATGCCTTTATTTCATTGTCAATGTGGTCCAAACCTTCTTGAACTGCTATTTTATCTTTCTTCATTATGTTGATTGTTGAATCGACAACTGATGTCTGATTCTTAAATAGCGTCAATAATTGTATTTCATTTTGTTTCACTTCTGTAATTATATTTGACATTCCTTTGGCATATTCTGAGTCTAATACTCCAAACAGCGAATGTGCAATATTGCCTACAAGATCAATTACTCCTCTTTTGAAGCGATGATCATGAAGTAATTTATCATCGAGTTGTAGTTCGGATTCAATATGTTTAAAGTGATTAACTGTATTCGCACATGATGCGTTTGGTTTCATTTGTTGACAAGCTTGATGTAGCGACATTATTCCTGTGTTTAGAGCTGCTGCTTCCATCCAATAAAGACTTAAATCATAATAAACTAGTAGATTCCATTCAGTGGTTGATATGGCAGTTGTGCCCAGATTTTCAAAGTGAATACCCAATTTTGTGCCAAACCTTTTATTGTCAATTGGAGATCCTATTACTATTGGCAATATCAGTAATAATGTAAGTAATACAGAACAGTACAAATTGGTCGGCAGTTTTCTACGTTTTGTCTTGGGCTCTTCATACGACTCTTTTCTATCTTTCATAATTAACTTGTCAGGAGGTACTTCGTGATCAGCTTCAGCCATTGTTGGTTGATCATCTGTATTTACAGGCAGTATAGCTAATCGATGAATTGGGCGTTTAAAAATGCCTGCCGATGTTTTAACATCAGCTACTCGGATATGTCCATCTGTACCCTTGTACACATGTACAATTCGTCCCAAGGGCCACTGCATCACTGGGACGTTATCTTCTTTGATTATAACCATGTCTTCTAACTGTATGTTGGCAGATTGTGTTTTCCTTTGGTACTGCAGGCAGAGATTATTGCTTCTTGTCCTTCATTAGAATAAATGCTTTCTTCTAATTCTGCTAACTGGTTTTTGGCGCCTACGAAGTTTGTTGCGTTATCACTGTAAATATTCAAACAACGCCCTCGTCGACTTATAAATCGTTTTAATGCTCCAATGAAAGCATTTGTTGATAAGTCGGGCACTAACTCGAGATGTACCGCCTATGTAGAAAAGCAACAAAAGACAGCAATATATGCCTTTGTTGGCTTTTTGCCTCTCACCTTGTAGTGGATCCAAAATGGTCCGCAATAATCTACACCAGCATTAATGAAAGGTCGTGCAGGAGTTATTCTTGATTCTGGTAAATTGCCCATAATTTGTTGGCATAATTGCGGACGTGCTTTGTTGCATCGAATGCATCGCTGAACCGTTGCTCGGGCTGTTGATTCACCTTTAATCGGCCAAAAACGTTGTCGGATTATACTCAATAATGCCTGCGGGCCACAGTGCTTGTTTTCTTCATGGAACATCACGAATAATAATTTTGCCAATGGATCATTGTATGGGATCAGCATTGGGTGTTTAGAATCGTATGGTAATGATGAGGCTTCTAAGCGTCCTCCTACTCTAAGAACATTTGCATTATCAATGAATGGAGATAAACTACTGATTGAACTAGATTTATCAACATGACCTTGTTTCTTCAGTTGTTTGATTTCTTCATGAAAATCATTACCCTGAATGTGAAATATTATAGTTATTAATGCTGCATCCAATTCGTTGGCACTAAGTACTATATGTGTGGCACGTGACTCCTTTGATTTTCTTGCGTTGTTAGTGAATCTAAGAACATATGCTACTATCTTTTGTAACGTCTTAAATGAATTCTTGTGCTGAATCCTGTATATGAGATCTGCGTCATTGCTTTGAGTTGCTACAGCTACAACCTTCTTCTTCTCTAGATCGACTGGAACTTGTAATGATGATGAAAACCTTGGTGGCCATACTTCCTATCTTCCATGCAAAAAGAACGGTCCTTGAAACCAAAGTGCACATGTTGATAACGCCCTTGCTGAAAGTCCTCTTGATAACACATCAGCTGGGCTGTCCTTTGACCTAACATGTCGCCACTGTTCAGACAGAGTTAAAGTTTGAATTCTTGCCACCCTGTTAGCTACAAATGTTTGAAATGATGAGGACTGTGAGTTGATCCAAGATAACACAATTTCTGAATCAGTCCACAAAAAAACCGGCTGGTCCTTCTCTTGAAGATCGCTTTTCACTCTTGCTGAGAGTTCTGCTGCTAAGACTGCCGCACATAACTCTAGTCGCGGTAGCGTTTGTTTTTTGAGTGGAGCTACTCTTGACTTTGCACATAATAGTCGCACTATTATTCTACCATCTTTTAAAATTGCTCTGACATATGCTGCAGCGCCAAATGCCTTTTCAGATGCGTCAGCAAAAATATTCAGCTGTGTTGATGATGGAACCTCGCCTCTGAAGATATGTCTTGCCACCTGAAGTTTTCAAGAGTACTTAAGTTTTCTCTAAATGTTGACCATGTTGTACGAAGATCTGAAGGAAGTGGTTCATCCCAAGATAATTTCAATTGCCACAAGTGTTGTATGAAAATCTTTGCTTTGACTATTACTGGAGCTAATAAACCAAGTGGGTCGAACAGTCTAGCTAAATCAGAACTAACGACTCTCTTCGTGATTATTCCTTCAGTAACCATTTTGACCTTAATTCCAAATAAATCCGCCTTGGGCAACCAAAATAATCCCAGCGTTTTGATTGACTCGTTATTATCGAAATCTAGATTTACCTCTTGATCATCTTGAGAAATGTTTTTCAACAGTTGAGGATGATTTGCGCTCCATTTCCGAAGACAAAAATGATGCTTCTTCAAAATATGGATTAGTTGTCTTTGAGCTTCAATAGCCGTAATTAAACTATCTGATCCACCGAGCCCATCGTCAACGTAGAAATTGTCACACAGGATTTGAGCTCCCAATGGATAATTCACCTTGTTTTCTGATGCTATCTTTTGCAGACACCTTGTTGCTAGGTAAGGAGCTGCTCGAGTCCCATATGTAATTGTGTTTAGCTGATAATAACGAATCGTTGAATTTGGACTGCTTCTCCAAATGATAAGTTGATAGCGTCGATCTTCAGGATTTATCAGAACTTGACGATACATTTTTTCGATATCTGTGGTAAAAACAAACCGTGGTCGCCTAAAACGGAGCAGAATTGAAAAGAGTTCACTTTTAACTGTCGGTCCGTTATACATTAAATCATTCAACGAGTGTCCAGATGTAGTTTTGGCTGATGCGTCAAACACCACTCGAAGTTTAGTAGTTGTACTATCTGGTTTTAGTACACAATGATGAGGAATGAAATATCTTGGAGTCAACATGGAATCCAAGTTTACTTTAGTCATGTGACCCAATCGCTCATACTCTTCCATAAACTGGACACATTGTTTCCGCAAAACATCATTTTTTGCTAGTCGTCGTTCAAGACTGATGAACCTTCTCCAAGCTGTTTCTTGAGATTCCCCTAACGTCAATGAGTTTTCCAGAAACGGCAACCTTACCACAAAACGTCCTTCTTTATTTGTATGGACGTTCTGAACAAAATGAGATTCGCATAATTTTTCTTCTTTGGATAATGTCCTTTCTGTTGTATTCACCTCGTCCATTCGCCATAATCGTTCAATTGCATCTTCTAACGATGAGTTATTATCAACAGCCTCCGCCCCACCGCCAAAAACTGCACATAAAACGTTTGATGTGTCTGTATTTGATGCAACCTTGCCACTGACAATCCAGCCAAATGTAGAATTTTGCAAGACTGGAAGCCCAGGAGCAAGCGTTAATTTACCTTTAACAGACTAAAATAGAACTCCGCACCGAGTAAAATATCAATTTTCCCTTGTTGGAAAAATGTTGGATCTGCTAACTGAATGCTGTTCGGGACCTTCCATTTGGAAATATCGTAGCTGCAACTTGGTTGAGGTGGAACTATATTTGGAAGCACAAACGCTTCGACTTCTGTAGTAAACCTTGAGTTAAGTGATTGCAATTTGATGTTAACTCGCTGCGTTGAATTTTTTTGCACCTTTCCTATACCTTCTATGCACAATAACGATTTTGTTTTTGATATATTGAGCCTTTTGACAAGACGCTCAGAGACTATGTTCACTTGCGAACCAGAGTCTAGTAATGCTCGGACTTCACTTGTATTTCCATTAGATGCAATTATTTTGACTCTTGCAGTTGGCAAGAGAACATAATCACGATGACCTGTGGATGTGTTTGCTGTCGCTGTGGTAACTGCGGTGTTGTACCCACTTGAGCTAGGTTGAATGTTCTGTTTTGTAACTTCCAAATGTAGCAACGTGTTATGCTTTTTATTACATTTGGTACAACTTCTTGATGAACATTTGTTCACCACTTGATCATTTCTGAAACAGTTAAAACAGAGCTGTTGATTTTTCACCCAATCCAATCGTTGAGATGGTGAAAATTGCAAGAATTTACGGCAATGATACAGTGGGTGATACAAAATGTCTTTTGAACGCCAAGATTGTTTAGTGCTAATAGACACTCTTTCGTTGTGTCATGTAAATTTTTAACTGCTGCCACAGTTGATGTGCCTGATGGCTGATTTAGAAGTTCATCGATTAATGTGGACGCCAAGACCCTTTT